CAGGCGGCGAAACCACTGAGCTAAATCCCCGGCCCCACGGGTTAGCATTTTACAAGAGCCCTTCCTTGTCCCCTGCAGACTGAGTCTTTGGGAGGAGGATGCATCTTCCTGGGACATGGGAGTTTCCTGTCCAGCTTGGAGGTTATCTCATGGCTGCGTCACAACCCACTGTAAGCTGTGCATCCGCCTGAGCATGTCCAGGCGAACCAGATGGTGTCCTTGGAAGCCAGGAAGCACGGAGACTGGAGAATGTGCCTTACTTTTCCTATGGAGAGATGCTAATCGTAGCTTCTGTTGGAAGTATGAAAGCAAACTATGAGAGAAACGCTTTATGTACACAGTTGTGTTCAAAGCAACAAACAGTTCTGAAGTCCCGAATGCCTTAGTGTTGATTTCCAGTTCCCAGCAATCTCGCTGTCCTGAGAGGAAGCCACCCCAAGGAGACCAAGGAGAGCCCCTCAGGGGCCCGTGTCATGCTGTGGCCCTCACCTCCAGCAAGGGCTGGCGCCTCCAACTCGGAACTCCGAGCACAGGGACACAGAGTGGGCCCCCAGGGAGCCCCACCAACCCCAGGGCTCCGTGGGGAGGGCCTCAGGTCCCCGCTGCCCCTTGTCCTCCTTTCTGAGACCTCCCTCGGGTCCTTCAGTAAATACCTCTCTACTTACTCAGCAAGACACTGTCTCACTGAAACCAAAAGAGCCAAAAGAACGTCAGCTGACCCTGGGCAACGGCGTGAGCCAGCCTTGAGGGGTGGCACGTGGGCTCAGTGTAACCTGGCTTTCAGGTGACACACATTGACTGGTGTGAACTCCAGGCGGGGAGGCAGCAGGACACGTTTGAAAGGGGAAGGGCAGTGCATGAGGGGCTTCATAGAAGAGACACACAGGACAAAGAGACAAACTGGGGCCCGAGTGGACAGCAGCAGCAGCAGCGGACTTGACGGCCACTCTAAAATGAAAATATCATCAACAAACCCCACTCGCCCCCAGCGACCCCCAAATTCAGTGTTCTCTCAGGAGAAAAACAGAACTGCGTGCTGACAAGTGTTCAACTTTACATTCTCAGGGTCGTGGGGAGCAGCTAACATTCTCGCAGCCACACGGTCACCTTCTGGCGCTGCTGGTTTGTGTAAATGCCACAGATGAGCTGCTTTGTGGACACTTCTAGAGGTCACTGGCTCCAGGGAGGATGAGGAGATGGGAGGCAACCGCATGTCCTGCGTGGCTTGGAAGGGCGCCTTGCCAGACAGCAGCTTCAGGAAGACACAGCTGTCTCCTCTCCTGTCCGCCAAAAGAGTTAACACTGTTCCAGTAACTCTAGATGGCAGAGTGCCATACGTAAATTCCATGTGGTGTTTATGATTCGCCACGTGATCCATCTGGGTTTGTAAGTTTGATGTTTTCAGTTCGATAGGTGATAATTTTGACTGGATTTATGCATCTAATAATCAACTGGGAAATGCTTCTGATTCGATACGATACATTATACAGCTGCGTCCATCTCCATAAGTAATGTATCAGGGTTGCTGTACACTGCTGGGGAATTTATCATATTTTTTTCAAAAGGACTGTATCAGAATTTTAGGACAATATATTCATTTCAGAACAAAGACAATTACTATTGTATTACTATTGCCAATAATACAAGCTGGCTAAGTTAATCCAGTGTGCGGTAGTGCAGCCTCGCTGAAGTCTGCTCTAACTCATGGATTTGTTTGGTAAAGTCTAAAGATGTTCACAGCCTTTGATCAAATGAAGGATGAACCAATAAGAGCAAAGTTTCTCTTCAGCCGCACACCAGTGTCTTTACTGGTGTCCTAGGCATAGCTGGAGCAAACAAGCAGCACAGCAGCAGCTGGCCAGCTGGTGGGACGTTCACTTCGAAACCACTGGTGTGGGAAGCAAGGCTTTCGGCCATGATGGCTCCTTTACTGCTTTGGTGAGGCTCATGATGAAGCCTCTTCTAGGATCTGCAGCCTCTTGATACCTTGAAACAGCTGCACTGAGTTCAGAACCAGCTCTTCCCATCATGGCCCACAGGGTGCCGATGACATCTTCAGAGACATACAGGTGGACCCAGGTTTTTAAGGTCTGCATATCTTCCCCTACTTGAGTGTTTAAAAGCTTGCAGAACAGCAATCCATGCATGGAAATCCACTCTGGAGTTTCTCTTTGCTTTTGTGAAGGAGAACTAGAAGGCATCAGTAGTTATCAAGCACTTGCACCCACTTCTTAAAAGCTTTGCCTGTGTTCAACACCTAATCCTCGAGGCAGCCCAGGATGCTGTCACCATCCCCATTCTAAAGCTGAGAGGACACTTGCCCAGGACTCCCAGGGAGACAAAGCTGAGGCTGAGCCGACAACTCTCCAAGCAGTGGGTGGAGTGAGTCCTTCAGTCGGAAAGGGGGCAGGCAGGACAACACGTGTCCATGGCGACTGTGTCCGGGAGCTGCAAGTATGTTCTCCATGTGTGCTTCAGGTCTTATTTTCTGAATGGTGTCTTTGGAGAAGCAGGATTTGAAAATTTTTATTCCAGTTTTTTAACTTACTCTGTTAGGTAGCTTTCTACTACTGTGACAAAATAGCTGAGAAAGCCAAGTTAAAAGGGGAAAAGTGGATTTTGGCTCACAGTCTCAGAGGCATCAGTCCCTGGTCTTCGGGCTCCATCCTGAGGTGATGCAGAAACATCATGGCCACAGAGGTAGGGGAGGCTGCTGTGGTGGCCAGGAAGCCGGGAGAGAGAGGGAGGGAGAGGGAGGGAGAGGGAGACAGCACCTGTGCTGACAGCGTTCTCCTGCCTTTGTGCCGTTCAGGCCCCACACCACCGCATGAGGGGAGTTTGCAGAGTCCCCTCCACCCCGTTTGCTGTCCCAGATGCTGACACAACCACAGTGTGCTTTCCTAATTCCCTAGCCTTCTCCCAATCAAATCAAGGTGAGACACATGATTAGCCAACACATATCAACTCTTCCCTTTGTAGTTAGTGGTTTTCACATTCTAAGACCATTTAAGGCCACAGAGGAATTTCCTCACGTCTTCTTCCAGGACATTTGTAGGAAAGCTTCTGAGAGCCCAGTCCATCCTGAGGTAATCCTGGGGAGTGCAGTGAGGCCCTCGTCACGGTTCATCTTCTTTCTACATAGATGTTTCCGATGTCCCAGCACCATTTGTCACTGCTCTGTTAGTTTATCCTGACACCAGTGCTACGCTGTCCTCACCACCTAGTTTTCTGGATAGCCTCACAATAGGGTAGTGTAAGTCACCAGGCTTGTTTCTTTTTTAAGATGCTTCCAAGAGCTTCCAGAAGGAACACAGTTCTGACACCTTGATTTTGGCTCAGTGAGACCTGCATCAGACTTCCTGAACTACAGAGCTCTGAGACAGTAAGTTTGTGGGTTTTTTCTTTTTCTTTTGGTTTTGTGAGACAGGCACTTGCTATGCAATTCAGACTGGTCTTGAACTCACTGTGTAGCTCAGGCTGGCCTCAAACTTGTGGCAATCCTCCTGCCTCAGCCTCCTGAGTGCTGGGATTACTGGCACGTGCCACTGCCCCTGGCAGTTTGTGTTATTTCAAGCCATTAAATGTGCAGTAATTTGTTACAGTAGCCATAGAAAACTAACACAGAGATAACTGATATCTTCATAATATTGAACTTTCCAATCTATGAGCATGGTATGGCTCTGCATTTATATAGATGCTTTTAATTTCTCTCAGTAGTATTTTATAGTTTCCAGTCTAGCAGGCTTGTGCATATTTCATTAAAATTATTCCTCGTTATCTTATACTTCCCAATGCATGGCAGATCTGCTTATTTGAAGCAGAAACTACCCAAGCCATAAATTAGAAGAAACCGTGGATGAGCCTGGCAGGTTGCTGGAGCCAGGTGTGGGCTGGTGAGAGAGTCCTGCCTCAGTCTCAGGGGACCTGCTCCGGCCTAGGCAGGCACAGCGGGTCACAGCGAGAGACCTTCGAGAGACCTTCGAGACGAGGTGTGCTTTAGGCAAGAACACTTAGGCAAGCCGAAGCCAAGCAGGGAAACAAAAACAAAAATACCAATGGATTCTGAAGGCTCTAACACCTGTAGCTACAGCCAGCACAAACAATGCTAACCACATGGCCATGGATTCTCATGTTGACATCCTATTTGCTCCACCTCCTGTACAAACATACACATTCAGAAAAGTTGTGGAAGGGCAGAATTGTAAAAATATTATTATTCCCCAAGCTTCAAGTTGTCTGTACGGTCTTCCAGCCTCAGCCTTGTTAAGAGCTCAGCTTCCCTCCTGTCTGATAAATTGGCTAGGCGGTGGGTAAATCTTCTCATCAACCTGCCAATACCCAGGGCCAGTCTTTGTCCCAGCAGCTGCTGAAGCTTACTGCTCCATTACAGTGTCCCCTGCTAAAATAAGTTCACCAACCCCTCTGTTGCCCATGCGAATACTTCTTATTCGGACTTTTCTGGTTCTACCAGAAAGGTCATCTGACCTTTTCATTTTAAACCTCTCCCTTTATATTTTTAAAGTACCTTCCCTTCTGCTTCTCCTCATATTCGTGCCTCAGTGGTCCTGATCCTCATTTGTGAATTGTGTGCTCCACTCTTTTTGGGGGGGACGGATTGAACTCGGGACATTGCGCTTGCGATGCAGGCAGCGGGACTACTGAGCTAAATCCCCGGCCCTCCCCATCCTTAATTGTGTTCTTTATCAAATGGCCTGCTTGAGCGTTCCTGACTTACACTATCTGCTGGTTTCCTTAAACCTTGTTTTAGCAGGTCAAAAGGAAGGTTCATGCCTCTCCTTGTGACACACACATAACTCAGTCAACAATTTTCTAGGCAAGGGTTATTTTTTTATCAGTCAACTCATCATCATCCAGTCAGTGCCTGACTTCTGTTTCAAGAAAGGTGCATCAGCTTTCCATGGCAGTGACCCCAGGAAATCAGCCGGCAGGAAGTACGTGTGCCTGGCTCACGGCTCCAGAGCTCTCAGCCTGGGCTGGCTCGGGCTGGAGCCGAGCACTACAGTGGCCGTGGGTGGTGAGCAGGGCCACTCGCCTCAGGGGCAGGCGAGAAGAGCTTGCTACACACAGCCCTGCAGCATGAACTGAACCATCTGACCGGCACCCCAGGGGCCCCTCTGAACACTGCTGCCCTGCAGACCACGCCTTCCACACTGGACCTTTGGGAGACACTGCAGACTGCAGCTGGGACAAGCAGAGGAGGCACAGGTGGGCGAATGGCAGGCACTCAGCACAGAGCCTGGACAGGCCAGTATCCATTTAACTGCCGGTTACTCCTGCCTGATTTACCTTTGCCTTGTAGTTTGGGATAGAGTGTCCTAAGAGTGTCCTATAAAGACAATGTTATTGTGTATACATTTTAATTATAATTTCTTCTAAATTATTCACTTTAATAGATGTTATAGAAAGTATATAATTAAATTACATTACATTATTCCATAAAAATCATTTGTATCTTAATAGGTGTTCTCAGTGCCTTAAAAGGGGGCTTGGGAAACCAGAAAGATAATTCATTACATCTATATTTACTCTTTTGTTGCTGGTAGTAATGCTGGAGGGTGAGATAAAACTTCAATCCAATGATTTATGTTTTTTTCTGTTAAAATTTATCAGCTAAATATAATTCTTGATGAAACCAGTTGAGAAATAATAGTCTCATCTTTACTCCTATGTATTCTTTTGTGGTAAGCAACATTAAAATCATTTACTGTACTTAAAGATTATGATCAATTTTTTTTCTTTTAAAAATAAAACCCTCACACTTTCAAAGTTAGAAAGAGGATTAAAATAGTTTCTTTAATTCCCCAAAGTAAGACCTCAGTAATTCCCTCAGTGCTAAATAATTACCATAAAATTATCAGGAAGTCTTTTAACTCCTCTTTCCCACACACACTCAGTCACAGACATTTTACAGCTGGCTCCTCACACAAAGGTGTGTTTGGGATTCTCGGTTGTGGGCTGAATGACCCATCTGTAATCCCCACAGGCGAGGGGCCACTGCCACCAGCCCAGCCCGGTTCCCAGTGCAGACCAGTGAGTGGCCAGGGACAGCGAATTGCGATACTCCTGACCTGGAGAACATACCGCTGGAGGGTCCTGGCTGCAGAAAAGGAAGTGTGGAGAGCAAGTGCTGCATCACATCGAGGTGTGCTTTAGGGCTGGACGACGGAGTGCGTCCCTGACAGCAGGTTCCACACCGGGAATCTCCCCCGCTCCTGCTCCTGAGCACATCCTGGGCTCCACAGGGTCACACACCACATCTCCTTAGCCATGTCGTATCACAAATGTTCTTAGAATTCTAGAAGTGACTTAGTATAGTGAAAAGACAGACTCTCCCACAGGAGACGATGTCCCTCCAGTTAATCGGCCCCTTCTGAGGCTGCCAGACCTAACTGTGCTTGGGCAGAAGAGAGAGGGGAGGGAAAGTGAACACGAGCAGTTTGGTGCCAGGAGTTGCTCACCACTGGCCTCTTGGATCCTTGGTGAAGAATTCACTCCGAACCAGTTCTTCAGTCTCCAGTTACCTGCAGGATAAGGGTTACAGACACCCATTTCTGAGCTTAATACAGAGACTCTGAGTATTTAAATGTAATATATGGAATGAATGAGAATAGTTGACATTAATATTACATATCCATGGCCCCTTAATTTTCAGACGGCTTCTGTATACATTATGGAATTCAACTTCCCCGCCCCATGTGCGGCAGTTGGAGAACCTAGGGATGAGGTGACAATGTCCTGCGGACTCCTGCAGCCTGGCAGACCCCTGAGAGCCTCCCTGCCCTCCCGGTCCTCCAGCGCTAGTCTCTACAGCCTCCAGGAGCGCGCCGCACCCCATCCCTGTTCATGGGCGAATGTGCCCTGCAGGCTGGCACCAGAGCCACAGCTGGGGATCAGGGTCGAGGGGATGCCAGTGCTTTCGTTATCCCTGCTGCCCCGGCCTCGGCACTCTGCAATGGCCGCTGCCCTCCCCTCAGGGTTTTAAGGCACTTCTCCTCCTCCTCCTCCCTCCCCCGTCCCTCCTTCCCTCTCTTCTTCCTTATTTCCTTCCTCCCTCTTTTCCTGAAATATTTCTCCACCTTATCTCTCTGTCTCTTCTAAGGGAAAGGACTTCCTTCTGACTGCATGGACTTGCAGGTCCTTCAGCTTGGGCAAGATTTGCCATTCACTTTGTCCCTTCCAGAAATTCATTACTTGGTTGAAGCTACCCCCTTGGTTTTTCAGTATCATACTGGGATTTGTTTCCCTTATTTTGATATTATCTAGAGCATTTAGATTGGATTTATAAAGGGGAATATATGTATTCAGTTGGAAAATATTAAGGTGAAGTTTCCAGTTTAAATTCCACCCTGATTTGGTCTCTTTTGTCAGTGCATATTAATGACACAGAACAGTGGGCTTTGGGTGGGGCCCATGCACACCTGCGTCACACTTTGGTCCTGCCCACTTCCCCAGGCCTCCACTCCTCAGCCCTCCTTCCCACCCATCTCCCTCCTTTGTGGTCTTCTATTCTAATGCGGTCTTTTTATCCCATGACTGCAGTCAGTCCTTGTCAGCAGCAGCCCTCCCTTCCTTCCTGAGCTTCCCAGCAGTTGTTAACAGGGGGAAGTGCCATTTGAATGCAAGCTAACTGTGATTTCTGTCCCTGCTAACCCTCCACGGCTGGCGGCCAGACTCATACACTGGGAAGCATTTACAGTGCCCAGTCCTCTTAGAGACAGACGAGGAAGTGGGTGACATCGCCTGGCAGTTGCCCAGCCTCTGGATGGGTGGGGGCCCCGGCACTGCCCTGCGGAGCCAAGACTTCGAGTGCTGTCTAGGGCCCAGTCACTGAGAGGACAGAGGATGGCAAAGCACTCGGCGAGTGCCTGGGCATTCCGGCACAACTGTCCAAAATAGTCTGACTCTTAAAACTATAAACTGAGTAATTTTTACCTGTGAGCTCTTCTCTGACATCAGTCTGCTCTTGCCCTTCACGGCTCGGGTGGAGCTTGCTTCCCCTACACGTGCCTTTGCTCCGGGTAGGTGCAGCTGGGCTCCTGCAGAGCGGGGCAAAGGCAGCAGCTGAGAGGCAGAAATCAAAACAATGACCAAATTGGAGCAGCAAAGCTATGATTCAAAAGTGCCGCTGAGTGTGGGAACCTCTGGCATCTTCAGGAGACCCTGGGAGGAGAGACGTGGAGTTGCAGCTGCCCTCTGGGGTCTCTGGGGTATGAGTGTGTGTGCACACATGTGCACTTGCATGCCATCTCCTATGGCTTCCTAGGCGTGGGAAGTGTTCTTCTGTGTGTGCACCTATAATTTTACTGCCCGTGAGTCTAGCACAGCAGGGGCTTCATTAGATACCACGCCCCGTTTCTGCTGATTGCTTTGTGGCCCTACATGTCTGAATGTGACTCTTTCTGGAGATACGTAGTCGGGCAAGAGGTGAGTCTTAAAGGCACCATGTGGATGAAATCCACAACATATCTACTTTGCAGTCGGGTATTAAGGCATTGAAAATGCTTCATTTGGGCTGGGGATTTAGTTCAGTGCCGCTGCCTGCCTCACAAGCACAAGGTCCTGAGTTTGATCCTCAGTACCAAAAAAAAAGCTTCATTTAATAGAGCGAGAAGACATATAAACAAATACAAATGCACACCCTAGAAAGCATAACCAAATGAGTGGGCTGAAGTATGAGGCGCCTGTGTTGTTTAATAATCATGGATGTCCTGATTCACATCAGTAATGACACCTCTAGATGTGTGCACTCATTTATTTCTGCCTGCATGGAATCTTCTCCCCTTTCTTTGGGTAAACGGCCCATGACTTTCCTTTGAGAAGCCACTTATAGCCTTTGTGGATTGGGTAGTTTTCAATCAACACATCCCCCTCCCTTGACCATGACTTGGCATGATAGATTCTTCCTGTGATTATCACATCCAGTTTGTGTCCTGGACTCATCACTTCAGAGCTACAAAATCTTGGGAAGTTACTTAGATATCAACTATTAGGCCAACAACTTAACAACCAGAGTTACTTTCTCCTCTGCTGACCCCACAGAAGATCTGTCAGATTCTGCTACCAAGGTTGCTCAGAGTTGCTCTGATTGCTGTCCTTGCTGAGCTTGGCTTCTTTAAGGTCTTTCTTCAGCTTTTGGAGTCACTAGGATCTGGTCCAGTGAATTTTTTTTTGCTGAAGTAACCAGACTCCATTTCTGTTGTCTACAATCGAAGAACTCCATACAAACAGTCTTTGCTTAGATTTTTCTATAAATATTTAATAAATTAATAACAATTATAGAGACAACATGTGCTCAAATAAAATTGGCTTCCTCAACCAATAGTAAGTTACTAAGGGTCGATTATCCTCACTGCTCGAGCCTGCAGATTAAATGAGGAGTGGAACATATATAAATAAACGTGGACAGTCCTCCCTTGTTTTGGTTTGTTCCCATGGTACCATGTCCTCCTCTGGTACAAAGAGAGATAACTAAGTCCCAGTATTTCATCCAGCTGCAAGTTCCCCTCTGCATCCTGTTTCTGTGGATGAAGTTTCCAGCCCAACAGCCCCTCTGCTAGGGGACAGACCCCACTCCTGCTACCCCGAGCAGCGGGCCTGATCCCCTGCAGCCTGTGGAGACTACACAGCCTCATATCCCTCTCCATATGCAGAGCTCCCCCATCCCCAGCACAGCCCCCAGTGGCCCTGGGTGCCCTCCAGTGTCCCCCAACCCAGGCCATGCATGTACACGGCTCTGTACAGCTGCCATCAGCACCCCACGTCCTGTGTTCAGTGTCCCCTAACCCAAAGGGGCTCCTTCTTCACCAGGCAGGGAATGGGAGTGACTGAGACACCACTGTTGGTGGAGCCCCAGGCTCCCCTCAGGCTGAGGCAAACTGGCTGACCAGGACACAGCCACAGCTGGGCCAGCCTTTCCCTTGCACTTGCTCCCTTTCGCTCAGCCTCAGAAGAGGAGGGGTCACATCTTTCGGGGACAGAGGCCAGAGCAGCAGATAGGGAGGCACCCTGTTGTCTCCTCCGAGTGCCAGCGGGGTCAGTCAGTGACACCACAGAACGGGGCATGAGCAGGCCACCGGTGCAGGAGTGGAGACTGCCTGGGAGGACAGTGGCTCCTCACAGAGCCCCAAATCCAGCCCAGGATACACAGCTCCTCTGTGCTGCACCCAGATCTGCTCTCTGTTCCCTCGAAGCACTTCCTGTCCATTTTCTGTGGAGGTATAGAAGACTGGCAGTCTCAGTGGCAGTGGAGTGGGGATGGGTATGGCTTATCATGCAATCCTCTCCAGGGGATCGCAGCACATCCTGCCAAAGAGACTTTTTGACAATAAAATCAGAGTGAAAGACTGCATATATGGTATGGTGTAGAACCTGGACCCAGTGATTATTCACATGCTGTTTATGTCCTGGACCCGCCACTTCAGAGCTACGAAATCTTAGGAAGGTACTCTACCTCTCTAAGCCTCATCTAGAAAATAGGGCTCATAATACCTATCTTATAGGATTATTATGAACAATCAGTACAATCCCCACAAAGCACTTAGCCCTGTGCTAACACTTAGCAAATGTTCATTGTGGTTATCATTTTCATTACTGTGACTATTAATCTTGACTGCCAACTTGACTGGATTAAGAACCTATCAGGTCCCAGCTCAGAGGAGGAGGCTTCTGGACCATCATACCACTGCTCCCAGTGCAGAGGAGGTGAGCCACAAGGGCACCACCAGCACCCCCCACCCCCCTTACTTGAGAAGACATGTAAACAAGTCTCAAAATCAGACTTCCAGATCACCTACAGCAACCCCAAAGGGAAACAAGATGGAACACTCTGATACTCAACCACCTGGACTCCCTGAATTGGCAACAAAA